CTGTTCAATACTCACGTTTTCAATGGACGCCATCTCACTGCTGGACGAGCTGGTAGAAGATCTAATTCTGGGTCTTTTTAAAGATTTTGGTTCCATAAGATCCCCATAAATGGCTTACTTCAATAGTAACAATACTTAAGCTCAAGTTGATAGCAAAATTATACGAAAGCTAAGCATATAATTTGAGAAATGTTTAGTTCGTTACGGAGGTCAGTCAACACACGTCCTTACAGTTCCGCCCTCAACGCCATTTTTAAATAGTAAGACTGGGAGATGTGGCAATGACTCGGTCAAAATTATGATACCATGTGTTCAACTGTTCATAGGTTTATAATATACTTATACCAAGAAATTCAAAAGTAAGAAAAAAAGTGGTAGCATGTACAGCACACACTGCACTGTGTACGTTTACGCAGAGGTGAAGACGAATAAAGCAAAATAAACTGAAACTCACAACGTGGTCTCGATCAAAACATGACAATAAGTTTGGTAAGCAATGCTGCTCTATTTGATAGAAGGCTAGATTAAATTCGGCAAGAAGACGGCCAACATTGGGAAATTATGAGACCGCTTGACAAACAAGTCGCTCTATGTCAATGCCGTCAGACAGGGAGAAAGTGGCCTTTCGAGCACGTCAGGGCAAAGGTTAAAATCGCAACGCCCATTGCATTAATATTTTAAACTATGATTTCAATCATATCTCTTGTCCTCATCAAAACAGAAAATGAAAAAGTGTTATTATCAAAAGTGCTACACCTTTAAAACGCCAAATGTTTTGTTTTTAAAGGTGGGCATGTAGGTCACTGTAAATTGCATGATATTATATTTTATCTAACACCAATGTGAACTCGATAAATTTGCGACCTACATGTTCGTTCATCACGCAAAAATAACACAAAAAAATAAAATACCGCAGGAAATGACCACATCACTTCTGTATATATATATAAACATGCTTTCGCGTCGTTTGTGGTGCTACTCAAATCTAGTAATCGCGCCAAATAACAGCTCTTTGTATGTCTTTTGTGGCCACGGTGGTATATAGTGGTTATTTTTGGATACCAGTATTGACATTTTATCGACACAGAAGAGCTATGGTTCTTCCCATAGACTTACGTGACACAAACATGCGACGCCAAATTGTATCGCAAATAAAAGTCGATAAAAGCAAAATAATTGTTCATATCGTCCTATGTTAAACTTTTACCAGAGTAAAAACCGTGATCAGTTTGATATTTTTCCGGAATTTAGTGATCCGGGTCGCATGTAACTCATGTCGCATGTACTTTCTTCAGGTCGAACGAGATTAATATGACGTCACTGGAGTAGGTATTCCTTCATCATTTTTAGTGGCTCTTCTGCGTGGATATATATCAAAAAAATAACAACTTTAAGAACACCAATGTATCAGATATGTTTAAAATATCATTACAAAGTTATGACCACGACGTACGACCGTTCAACCATCGAATTTTGCAAGCTCTTACTTTATCAGTGAGTGAGAGATTGTGAGAGATTTTTGAAATTGTCTCAAAAATAAAAGTTCTTGCATTACAAAAATACTTGTCATGGCTGTTATCGAAATGTAC